CGTCTAGGGGGAAATCAATTGGGGGGCCGCGTCTGCTCTGCCACAGCCACCTCGCGTTAAACCCGGGGAGGTTTAAAGACCGAACGAGGAGCTGTATAGAGAGGTCGGTTGGATTTCTGCGGCCGCTTGGTCTGTGGTGGAAGTCAGCGGGGAGGGACGGCGCGGCGCTAATGGACCACGTCCCACCCCACTCCGCCGCCGCCGCCACACCTGTGCTGTGATGATTGCCGCACAATAGCTTTTATTGCGGACGCCTTTGGGCGGCGATTAACCGTTCATACACGTCCGGGCGAGAGCAGCAAACGGCAGGTCAGGATATCGGGACCGGAATGGGGCCGACAACGCCGAAATTGTTCAAAGTTCCTCTGCTGCTCCCCTCCCGCGCCCTCCTCCATCCCTTTCCTGCCATGCCATGGCCCATTACCTTCGAAACCGAGTTGGTCCCAAAACCCCCCCTCCTCTCTGCTGCCACCCTCAACCCCACCACCCCTTCTGCATCCCTCTAGCTACCTCCATGGTCCCCGCCTGTCGTTCGGCCATTCGTCTTGTAGAGAGGTTAGGTTCGGCCTGACAAAGAGGCGCTATTTGATCGTATCGTTGTCCTTCCTTATCCCCAACACCCCTCCGGCAGGAGCGGATACAGAGAGAGAGAGAGAGAGAGAGAGAGAGAGAGAGAGAGAGAGAGAGAGAAGGGGGTTCGAAAGGGTGGCAACCACGCGCCAACAACCCATTTGCTGCTCGCCTCATTGCCCATGGCCCTTCGCCGTATACACTCCCCATTGTTTGCCTTTGAACTCACAGTGCTAACCTCCATCCAATACCCAAGCAACGTTTTCTTCTTGGCCTCCTCCTGCCATCATGTCGAAATAATAATGCTTCTTTAGCTAGAATCCGTCTTACTATCAGCAGTAACCTTGCAAGATGCTGCTGCCGCTGTTGCTTCCGTGGAACTAAGAGGGTGAGACATGCTTCTTCGCAAGAGGATATCGATACTCTGGAGCAATATCAATTTCACGTGCGCGCGCGCGCGCTCGCGTGTGTGTGCGTCTAAGGCGGATGGGCCTGGCCTCCATATGCCCGCCGGCTTAGCCCAGCTCTATTACAGGCGCCTGAATACACCCATTGTGCAAGCTCCGTCTCGAATATGCCTTCCGGGATGCCCCCCATTGCTAGGGGTGC